TTTTTTTGTTATTTTTGGATATAAAACATATTTGTCAAACTTTAATGAACGTAGAACAAGTATTGCATTGCTTTATATTTTTTGAAACGACTCATAATAATTTTAAAGAGTAAAACATTGTTTTAGTTCAATATTTTTACTTCTATTTAAGTCATGTCATAAGGCATTTTTAGCGCAATTTTCGCATTTTAAGGGCATTTTTTGCACTTTTAAGGGCATTTTTTGCAGTTCATAAGGGCATTTTTTGCACTTTTTAAGGGCATTAATTGAGATTTTTTATGTCATCAAAATCCGGGCTCTAGTTATAATGAAAACTTATCACCGCTGAGACTGACGAAAAATTTTGAGATCATTATGCTTATTTTTGATATTGCTGGGAGCCATGTAACTTTTAAAAACGCGTTTGTCACAAAGCAACCCCACTTTATGATATATTTGTCAAATACTTTTGTCCCTTTCAATTTCTTTTATTAGTTCGCACTCGCCCTATTATCTTGTTCAAATTTTCAATCGTTAATAAAATACTCTTTATTCATCTATCCAAAATCAAATACATTTTTTTTAACTTGAAGTTACTCGACACTTGATGTTAGTACAGTTTTTTCAAATATTAATTCATTCATTAAATTTAATTCATTAATTTCAGTTTTATATGGGAGAAAAATTTTAATTATTTAATAAAAAGTAAGTAAAATGAATTCTTTTGTTGACCTAAGTTAGAGTTGACTTTAAATTTTTTTTATATATATTACTTGTTTAAGTTTACGATAGATTTTGTCAAAAATATTTCGTCAGACATCTGTTTGAATTGCAAAAAAAAGAAAGAAAAAAATTTATTTGCCTGAAAGGATTTTTATGAAAATGTTAAAATAATTCCTAATAAATTAATTTACGCATTAAATTACATTACATAAACAAAATCTATATAGGCTGTTTCCCCCCCCCCGTTAATAGTATGAATTATTGGTTTAAATCCAATGAATTATTTTTTCAATCACAAGGAGCTTTCGTCAAATGCATTCCAATGGATTGAATTTATTGACGAACCATTAACAAAATTTCTCGCTTCTGATTCTTTCTAATTTTTAAAAAATAAAACTTAATTATGGTGAATAAAATTAATAAATTTATGAAATAAAATTAAAAAATATCGACTTTCTAAACTACAAAAGTGAGCTCATAGAAGATTGATCAATAAACAGTTAATTAATCAATAAATTCAATGAAACCAATTATATTATTTCGTTCGTTATTCCTTAATGAGTTTTTTTAATACATTATCTTCCTTACTCTGGGAATTAATACTCATTTAAGGGGCTCTTTTTCAATAATACTTTTTTTTTACTCTTGCTTTTTCAATAATACTTTAATACATATTTTAGCAAGTAATTGTGACCGTAAAAGGTTTTAATGGATTTATTTTTTATTTATTTATGTTTTTTTTTTACAAAATACATAAAAAGCTATAAAAACACTTTCATATTTAACTAATAGTGAAGATTTTTTTAAATTCATATCAAAATAAATTTTTTCTTTTTATTTACTTGAGTTTCCTCTCCGCTATTAAAGCAGCATTTAATCCAGGAACTTATTTCATAAATTAATAACAATTAAACGATTTAATAAGCAAAAATTAAAAAAAAAAGATTAAAAAATTGCACATTATTGTATAATAAAATTCTGGAAAAATATGATGTTACGCAATAATCTCCAATATCGTGCTGCTCTCTTTATATGGTGCCAAGTTTGAATCATAAAGTAGTACTAATTTAGTGCTTCTAAATTTTTTAGCCTGATATACTCTAATAAAAATCTGTTCCATGGTTATGTTACGGCTAAAGCTTATCTAGCAAATTAACTAAGATGATTCGTTTAATTACTCAATCAAAATCTTCCCACAGTTTACTTAGAAAATGGGCGCCCTTCGTATTTTTTTAGTTTTCAACTCCTTAATATTTTAAATCGATGGAACGGGCTGTAACTCATGTGTGTGTTAGAATTCAAATTCTTGGCCGAAGATGGCGCCACTGGAAAACAAGAAAAATCTCACCCTTCTGCATTAAAATAGGCTTGTCAGCATTGACAAGTAGCATAAGACAGCAACAAATAGATGGATTCTTTGTATTATGGGCTTTTAATTGATTGATAACTATCACATGGTGCGTAGCGTTTTTAAAAAGTGCTTGAAGGTGCTTATTTTCGATTATCGTTATTTGAAAGTCTTTAAAGGTGCTTTTTTTCATTGGGTGTTTATAAAAAGTGCTTAATTTTCCCTTTTCAAAAATGTGATTTTTTTTCTTTACCATGTCGGTTTTCGCCACGTATTGTGTAAAAGCGTGCTTTTCACATTGTTCTATTCGACGTTTTAACCATTCATTTCAGCTTCCATAGCGTATGAAAGCGCCAATTATTTTACACGTTTGATGAAATACTTATGACTCCTCATTTGCGTCTACTGAGCTGGGTTCGGTCAGATTATTTCACTCTAATGTGCAACTCTGCTGCATTTTGCAGATATATTTTCAATTTTAGGTATCATTTTCCAACCTCTGATATCGAACCGAAAAATCTGTCAAGCATTTTATAATGGCAAATATAATCAGGAAAATAATTCTACGTCAGGAATTGGTTATTTTATCATGATCATGAAAAGTCTTTGAAAATTATTTTGGCATTTTGTTAATGTATATGTCACGGCGAAGGACCGAAATCGGTGGTTGTTTACTTTCACCGGTGAATGTCGACAAACACCAAATGCGTCGGTGAAAGATCGAATATTTCATTACATTCTTGTACATTCGAACCCTCACCGGTGTATGTCGACAATCACAGATATGCTTTGGTGAATGTCCGAAATATTTATTACATTCGATTTGATATGAATTTATTCGTGGATATAATTAC